GCCTTATTCTTCTCGTCCTCCCACATCGGACGGATCCCATACTTGAACACCGAGTAATCGCTTCCAGCGTTCAGATGTGACGCCAATTCAATGTGATTATACAGACTATCCGTACAATCAAACAATGGATCAATCAATCAATGGATCAATCAATGAATGAGTTGACACTTACGCCCAGAAGTCCTCGACGGTGTCGAAGTGAGTGACATCGAGGAGGTTGTCCTCCCAGGCAGAGCCACGCGCTCCGGGCCTGAAGTACCACAACTGCCACTGATTCTGAAGCGGGTGTTTCGGTATCACTTCATTCGAGTCACCGCTCGCCTCAGCCCTCGCGTCAGTAGTCGAGACCGACTAAAGCAGTCAATTCATTGTTAACACGTGTTTGGCATCGCTTTCACCACACAATCATAGCTTACCTCCACTTTCTTCACTTCGGATGTCATGTATTAGCCGTCAAATGAGTACTCAATTCAATCAATTCAATGCAAAATCAGTGAAAATGTGTTTTCTTTGATCCGATCTTAACGTTAACTCAACACGAGAGCAATGCTATGGCCTAGAGGTCGACACCGCTGTAGTGATGCCGCATTACTGGCTAGAGGTGTGCGCATAGCTTCATGTCAAATATTGGCTCCAATTTTGAATTGATTTGAATAATGAGTAAATTTTATTTACTTTAAAAATTTAATCACAATTTTATTATAATTGTGATTTCATATGAATATTAATCGAGGATTAATGAGAGCTCAAGGGTTCGGCACTCGGCTAACACTTTTCACACTATTTTCATATTTGTTATTTAGTGGTTGGCACTATACAGCACCACACTGCACCAGCTGCACCACTGCACCACTAAATCTTGGTCAGTATCAACATAACCGGACTGCACCACCACGAGTGCACCACCATGACTCAAATAATGAATCTTATAATACATAAAGCAGAATAATTAAAATAATTATTAATTAATGAAAGAGATATATTTTAAAGATTTAAATAAAATAACTATTAAACTGATTATATTTGTAATAATTTTAGACTTTGAATATATTAGATTATATGCATTATAATAAGCTTAATAATTAACGAGATTAAATGGAAATCATAATTATAAATTTACAAATTAAAGTTTAAGTTTCAAAATCATAATATTGATTTATCAAGTTTTATATTTTTGCTGTAAAATAATCTTTATTACAATTTATATTATTTTGATAGTTATGTCATGGTGGTGCAGTCATTAGGGGATGCACTCGTAGTGGTGCAGTCATTAGGGTGTGCACTCGTCGTGGTTATTATAATGCATATAATGTAATATATTCAAAGTTTAAAAATATTACAAATATAATCAGTTTAATAGTTATTTTATTTAGATTTTTAAAATATATCTCTTTCATGAATTAATAATTATTTTAATTATTCTGCTTTATGTATTATAAGATTCTTTATTTGAGTCATGGTGGTGCACTCTTGGTGGTGCAGTCCGGTTATGTTGATACTGACCAAGATTTAGTGGTGCAGTGGTGCAGCTGGTGC